ACTTTGTAATAGGGCTGCACAATTAATCAAAAGATTATCGAAATCGCAATATGGCCAAGTGCAATATCAAAATTGTAGAAGCTGCAATTTTTTGATAAAGGTAAAATGTGTGAAAAAACAGCATTATAATGAAGTACTGTAGTTCTGCAGAGAGGCCTTGGCCTACAGTTCTTGTTCTCCAGATGTAAGAAAAGATGTTTGTTTGGTACAGACCCCAACAAATGTCACATCATCATGATTCCAATAGTTTTTTCTTTTTCAGTGAAAATCAAAATTGTGATGAAAGAATAATAATTTCCACTAGTAGTGAATCCACAATCATAATATCTGTCAAAATAATCAGAATAGGCTATTTTTTACCATATCATGCAGCATAATTAATCTGCTTCAATATTTGCTGTTTGAGGCTTGAGACTGAGGCGTTTTTGTTGTTGAATTGCTACAAAGCAAAAAGGCTCTATATAAAAATGTCCCTTAACAAATGGTGCTGTTAAAATAAAAACACTGTGTAAAGTATTGATTGATCAACAAATAATAACGGTATCATATAATTATACTTCACATTTAAGATACTTCTTCAAAAAATAATGAAGGACATGAAGATTTTTTAAATTAGAATTAAGTCAGATGTTAGTAGTCTGGCTTGTAGAGCATCAATACACTGTTATTAGCCCACATTTAAATAATTAATAATGTTGGCCATGAGGGTTGTGCAATAGGTCACTGTTGTAATAATCATATTTAAATACACTCACAAGTGTTCTTACTTCTGCAACAGTCTAACTGATCATTTGTCTGATTATTCTGTGCAGATGTGCATGTGTGAGGGTCTGCTGCAGCAAATCTTTAACGTCTAACCTTCCACTGCGGCAGGTGTCGGAGGCGGGGCATGCTGGTCAGACAGCTGAGGATCCAGGAGAGCTCGGCGTGCTCCGACACCTGCAGGGTCGAGAGAGAGGGGTGGGGACGCATCAAATGACACAGTTAAGAGAAAATCTGTTATAAACATCTTAAAAAGCCACACAGACACACGTACGTTAACATGAAATTCATACCTCTTACAATTGGCACCGAATTACTTCAGGATTGTACAGTAAGAGTCTCCAACAACAAGTTAGCCAAAATGGATCTTTTCTAATCTTTAACCTGTCAACATAACTAACATAAGATAAACACTGTTTGTGTAGAAGAACAGACACACTGACCCGAGGAGTGGTTGTTGCTGCTGTAGTTTGTAATTTGGTGGGTATTTCTTTCTTTCATTCTCTTTGTTTATAGTTCTCCCTTAACTTGCCCGCCCCCTGTGATATACATTTACACACTGAACAAAGAGTATCTGCACATCTACATACATACACGTGTCTGTAGATATATCTATATGTGTCTGTGTGTTGTACTTTACTTAGTCCACGCGTAACCACAGAGAAGCATTCGAGAGATAAATAGAAGAAATCAATTACACAGACAGATTAAACAAACACAGATGAATGGATGAGAGGATTGCTGTGGGACAGCTGTGGTGGAGCAAGAGGGTGACTCCCTAGCGCCTCCAAGTGGCAGAGAGGAGTAGTGCCAGTGTATGCTTCTCCCCATTTGTCCTCCACTCCTTACAGACAGGTGCACCTGGTCACACCTGTGCTTACTGTTTGGATAGTCGGGTTTCAACTACAAATTATACAGTAATGTGCATTTCCTGATGTTAACAGAGCAGATTCAGAATGTTATTCTGAATCAAATCTGGGTATATTGATATGCTGCTTTCGTTTCCATTAGATTTAAATATTACTTTTGTACATCTTAAAGACTGATTGACTCTTGTGCTATAACAACAGACAAATAAGAATCATTTCAACACAACACCTCTCTTTTACACATTAGTATGAACCTTTGGGGCATCCTGGATTTTGATCAGCTGTGGTCACATTGGGGGTTATTAGTGTTAGTCACTGATGCCTATCATTTGTGGGAAGTCACAGTCTCAGCTAATAAACACTGGTACACTAAAAATCAAGTCATTCCTAAACTTCAAATATCATCATTTGTTTTTCCACCTCTGAATTTAACTGATTTAGGAAGTACAAATACTTAAGCAAAAGTACAGATACCTTAAAAAAAGCTACTTAAGTACTTCCAGGTCTCTGTACTTTACTTGATCTACATTTATACGCAAATATCTGTACTCCCTACTCTTTACATTTTCATAACAGGCTTGTTTCTTTAGTTTAAATGCATCTGAGGGGAAGTGACGATTTTATTATTGTTTTTTGCATCATTGCACACCTTCTCAACATTATCAGTGCATATCACGCATAACAGACGTAACTAGGTGAAACAGACAAGAGAGGAACCCTATTTGAAGTTTCAGTTAGCTTTGCACAGAAACAGCTGGAACAAATGTATTTCAGAGAAACCAAGAGAGCACTAGTTACTTTTATACTTGAGTACATTTTAGAGCCTGTACTTT